ATCAGCAGGAATAGACTGCCTGATCTCATGGTTAGCTTTGGGTAGTGAGAGGCTCCTACGTCTCCGCTGAATCTCCTTGGCATCTCCATCGGTGCTCTTCCGGGCCTGCAGGTATGCTGTATTGGCGATCAGGTTATCCAGCCCCGCCATGTCACACATCTTGGCAAGTTTTTGGGGTGGCAAAGCCTGGCTGGGTCTGTGACTGACTGGTCCTGGTGCTGTACTACTGCTGCTGCTGCCCTGTACCTCTCTCTGCCTGTGTGCGTGTGGGTTTCAGAGACACTGGGAAGACAAACTGATTTAGCATTAAATACCTCTCAAGGATTTTCACTAAGTACCTTTAGGTGTATGTACCATTCGTGGAAAGTGACTGGTAAGAGGTTTCTCTCTAAGGAGCTTTGACTTTGCTATCTATAGCCAGCGAGATGACATCCCAGACAAACCTTCCCACTGCTGGCACTGAACAGGCAGAGTTTAGTTAGTGTCCCTCAGCCCCGCAAACATGCCAGAATTTCCTTATTTCCAGTGTCTATGGTGCTCTAATCCCTGGAAGGAGGACAGGTAGGAGACAAAGGAGGTTGCTCTTCCTGTAGCATACTTAACACTGGGGTTCTGGGAATTATGTTCTTTTTCTTTTTTTGTTGAGGGAAAAAAACTTTTACCAGAGGCAACTCACTGCCATCTGTGACACAAAAGTTGAAAGAGGAACACTGGGTGCTTGGAATTTGTTTAATCAGGCCCATTCTCTGGACACAAACATTTCCCCTAGCTGAAACCAAGAGAAATATCAAGTGTTGTAACCTGCACATATCTGCTGCTTCTTATAAAGGAACAGAAATCAGATTAGGTGAAGAACATGCCAAGAATTGTTGCTGCCCTAAAAATACTATTTTCTAGCTAGTCTGAGGCTCCCTTATACACAGCAAAGGGGAAGTCAACCTAAATTTGTATACTGCAGCTATTTCTGTTATACTCTAAAAGAACAGGTTTTCTTTTCCTCATCTCCTCTAAAACATTTCAAACCACCGTCCAAATGTTGAGTCCTGATATTGTCATTCAGACCAAGAGAGTCTTCAGTTCCGAAGACTTTCTGGTTCAGCTCTTGGTAATTCAAGAGGAATTAATGGTATAGGAGATATTGGCTAACTGAGAGTTAATTCTCTAACTAAGAATTAAGTTGAGCATAGGGTTGAATATGACCAACTAACATGCATTTGATTCCTCCCTTTGTCCAATCATGTTGCCAAACCATGCTAGTTAACACTGAGAACACACATTTAAAAAAACCCAAACAACCCCCTATTTTTCTGAGCTTAGATACAGCCATAGATAGATGTCTCAGTTGTTTACATGATCTGGAACCTGTATTTCTGTAATTCAATAAAAGTTTAACGTATATAAGAAATATCTAATTTAACTATTTTTAAAATTACCAATCTGCTATGTATATCAAACATGGAAAATATATTGTGCTGCCTACAGTCTGTTTAAATCCAAGTGAATGTATAAAGTTAGGATGTATCCTTAGGTTATTACCTTGATTACTATTTCATTTGCTAATATGCACTATTCATTATAGTAAAGGATAAAAGTATTAAAAATGAGGTTTTTAGTAACAGAAAAACTGTTCTTCATTAACCATAGTAATCTTGGTGAGTCTTATTAAAAATGTAGCATTGTCTCCATTGACCAATACCTATTTACCTATATTAAAATATTACAATGGTTAGTAATTGCCTATTAGACAGACAGTAGGTGTTTTTTGCACTCATGCTCTCCAAGGGCTCTGTAGTTTCATGGTGCAATATCACAAAATTGGCTATTTTAAAACTTTTAATGTTTTAGTTAAAAAAATAAATAAAAGAAACGCATACACAGTCTTGCAGAATAGGTACATATTAATATTACCAGCATTTTGCTGAAAGGCAGAATAGAGCAAATCATTTCCTTCAAAATACACCTTAAATCCTTTAAAAGAAATAGAAATTATTAAAATATTTTTGTTATACTTCTAAGTCAACTGTAATGAATTATGTATATTCTAATTTGCTGCTGACAATCTTGAAAGTGTATGAAAAATGCAAAATAGTTCATTTTAAGAGAAAAATATCCCCCAAGACCACATGCAGCTTTCTCCTAAAAATCATGGCTTTTAATCATATTATTAACATAATTTTAACCTTTAAAAACCCTGCTGTTTGATTGATATTTTCTACTAAAGTAGGGAATGTCTTGAGGAACATTTAAGAATGACATATTGGGGTTAATATTCAGGATTTTCTCCTTAGTCTTGACAAAAGTAATTTTGATTGCTCTCAAACCCAAAGGAAAAAATCAGTGCTTTTTTTAAAGATAGAGTATTTTATATGTTTTCCCTCTTCTTTAATTGTTTAGCAAAACAACAAAAACAAATACAAAATCTGACAACAGCATACCACCGTGCAGCAGCAAATAGTTACTTTCATATACCCACTCTATAAAATAAATTCAGTGATATTTTTTAAACACAACCACCAACTTTCTGAATATAAATCCATGCACTGACTGAAAAAATGGCATGTAAAAACCCACACAGACAACTGAAGAGCTGAAAAACTATCACCATATGTAAGACATACTTGGGTCTTACTTAACTTTGAAACAATATAACTTAACATCCTATTTTTATGCAAGTGTCCCTATGGGTAAGCAAAATCAGTTTTATGTTGAGACATGGAGGCTCTGTATCCAGTGGCAACTTAAAAGCTGCTTTACCACTTTAGAAAAGCTTAAGCTTTATAAAGTACCTCTACTAGGATTTCACTACTCCAAATGAACATGCGCAAGTGAGAGTGCGCCTTGTTGTGTAAAGTACCTATTGCGGCAAGTTGCCTAGAAAACTGACATCTGTCTGGACGACGGTCAATTTTAGCCTAAGAAAAACTTCATAACTACTCTTTTGCTGACAGACAAATTATCTTCTGCAAAAGATAGAGGAAGACATCATCTTGTTGGCTAATGTATGAAAGAAGGTTCACTTTCACGTTCCTGTAAACAATGAACCACATAAAGCCCTGGTTTAAAATTAAAGACAGATAACTGCTAAGACTACAAAGTATATCCCCAGATAGCAACATCTAAACTTTTCTAGTGAAACTCTTACAGATACTGTGAAGCACAGCTAATTTTTAAGGGGAAGAGAGCCAGCCACTCACTGTTTTCTTTACTTATTCAAGTGTAGAACATTAAACCTGGATGAGGGAGAGGGGAAGCTTAGATTATAAAGACATTAATGATTCTGGTTATCAAAGGCTGATGCTCCACTAGCTTATTTTTAACATGTACATGACTAACCTAAAATTATTAAGGACTTGTTTTTTAAAAATTCTCATGTGCCTAATTGTATAGGTATATCACAACTGCATTTGGAAACTGGACAATTAACATGTGCAATCAACCCAGCGACAGGGGGATGACAGAAATGAACTTGCAGAGCCCAGTGCTGATAGAAGCCAGCAAACAAGAATGTTTCTATGTAATTTGTCCTTAAGTGAAAAAGCAATCCTTTTTCTGGTACTTGCATACTCTGTTTGGAGGCTGTGTGTTGTAAATAAGACTCCTTGTAGGTCACCGTGTGAGGAGAGGCTAACTACTTTTAATCACAGCAGAGGGACAATTAACTGTTGAACCTATATGAAGGGGCAGGAGAAACATGGGCAAAAGACTTAAGGAGCCAGGCAGAAAGCAAACAAGGAATTATGGATGCATGTGTTTTTCCTTTAAAAGGACAAAGTAAAAAAAGAAAAGAAAATTATGGCGATGATGGAGGCAGCAGTGAACAGAACCTGAAGAAACAATGACGACGGGATGCAGAAGCTGCAGGGGGTACATTATCCTCAAGCAAGTGTCTGATGGAAGCTCTTAATGCACGAAACCTGGCCTGCTAGAACTCATGGAAAAAGGTCTCAAGAACTAAAGGCGTAGCTGGAGATAGCTATGGAGTTCAAATGGGGAGATTAAGCTGTACAGATAACACAGATACAAGGACGTAACAGAGGCTGCACAGAACTCCATATTTGCAGACAACCTTCAAAGTAGAGCAGGTTAGAGGTGCACCGATATACCAGTCCATATTGGATAGGCACTGATGAAAGCAAAATGAACATTATTGACAATTGGCTTTTTTTGGCCAATGTAGCCAATAATGTCACCAATAAATGCTGCGTGCATGTGTGCAGCCACAGCCAGGAATGCCACCCAACAGCTTGGAGTGCAACATCTGGCCAGTAAGTCAGTGGGAGGAAAGGGATGTGGGGGCGGGGCAAATTGACCCTGGAGCCCTGGGCAGCTCATCTACGGAGAGTGCAGAGTTGAGGCAAGTTCTCACCACTGTGCGCACCCCCAGGAGAGACATGGGGGCATGTGTCCCACCCCAGATTTGTGTGTGGGGCAAGGGCAGGCTGGCCACTGTGGGCTCAGGGCCAGGGGCTGTGCCAGCCTCTTCTCGGTGGGCAGCTGGGCCAGGGCTGCGCTGGGGGAAGGTAGGGTCTGTGCAGGCGGTGGTGCTAGGAGGGGTGGCTACAGGGAATTTTGCAGTGGCTATAGCCCTCTCCCAGTGCTGCCCCCACCAGCCCCAAGCACAGCTCCAGCCCAGCCCCCCTGCACTGGGAAGAAGCTGGCACAGCTTTCAACTTCAGCCCACAGCCTGCCTTTGCCCCTCACACAAATCCAGAGGGGCACATACCCCCATGCCTCCTCTGAGGATGTGCACAGCAGTGGGGAGCTGCCCTGTTCTCTACCCGCTACAACCCTCAGACAAGCTGCCCATGACTCCATCCTGCTCCTGAGGATGCATTCACCACCATGGCTAGGCAGCACTAGCCCCTGCCCCAACCCCATCCCCACTTTCTCCCTCACCATGGAAGCCTTGATCTGCCCCCCCCATGCCCCTTCCCTCTCCCACACCTCTTTCCCTGCCCCCTGCCCCCCACCAGGCTTATTGGCTGGACGCTGCTCTCTAAGCTGCTGGGATGCATATAGACTATCGGATCGGTATTGGCCAATATGGCTGATTAATAATTGGCCATTGGTATCGGCCAAAAAATCTTTAGCAGTGCACCCCTAGTACAGGTCTCTAGATGAGGATGGTGACCCACAGGAGCAAGTAACCGCTGGAACAGGGGGAGGCAACATTTTTTGGATGGA